CATTGTCTCGAGAATTGTCTTAGGGAGCAGTTTGCTCCTCGGGAAGACTACGGTTATTTCAGCTACGTCGGTGCTATCAGGGTAGCGGGCCGTGGATGAGGTTAGCGCGCCGCGGAAAGGGGTCGTCTAGAGGCAATCGGGCTAAACTACGGACTCATTTACACACTTAGCCCCGCTTCCGCCTGGCTCGTTCCTACCCCAGCCCCCGGGAGAACCCAAATGGTTTTCATATTGTCTTTTTACCGCTCATTTTCATTTTATCGCTTGTTTGGCCACCGGAGTCGTGCCGTCGCCGTCCTCGCGGCGCTTTCATTCTCGTCGCTTTCGCTTTTCCTTCGTCCTACCGCGTCGGCCCGCGGATTTGTATTCGATGAAGGGAACGGAATCGATTCGGCTCGCCGTGCCGCCGATGATATCGCCGTGATTCTACATAAAACGAACCTTGTCGGCGCGCGATATTATATTTATTAAATCGTTCGATGTAATAAGCTCTCCCCCTCCCCACTGCCCGGCCATGGTAATCGGCGATACAACGGGGACGCTTTTACGTTGTTTTTCAATTTATGCTGATTAGATTCGCGCATTTGAGAATTACACCGCGCGGTGTAACGGAAACCATTCGAGAAATTGCCGGGAAGTGTGCGTAGCGTTCTGCGGGCGATATCTTCTTTTTGAAGTCAAACGTGAACGCGTCGTCGGGAGCGTAACCATAGCCCGGAGAGGGGAGGGGAGCGGGAAACCCTCGGTGGAAAAGCATCGGCGGTGCAGGGTCGCCGGGGGTGGCCCAGAACGGACCGCCACGAGCACTTAAGACTATTGTTTTCAATGTAATTGGATAGCTCCTGCTTTCCGTCTCCCTCCCTCGGTCGCTTCCTCCCGCGCTTCCAGCAACTATCTCGAATCGCGCGGAGGGTGGAAAGCAGTCAGCCAGCCAGCCCCACGTAGCTTCGACAATTATCTTGATTGTTTTATGCATACACCAACGAACCCGCGAGCGACTTATCTCCGGAGAAGGCAAACCGTAAAGGGAAACCGCGCGGTATCGTTTCGCCGAGGATCGCGCCATTTCCATAATTCGATGGCACACATCATCGATCGACGCGTCGACGTGTGTAAAACGTCCCCTTACCACAAACTCAGCAATTTTCGCTCTTAACGAACGCTCGTCGCCTTTTATTTCCTTTTTTTTTTCGGCGCATCGAAAGTAAGACGTGTACTCTTCACGTATGCGCGCACACACACACACGAGCAGATGTCGATACAGATTCTCGTGGCAATATTATACGTCAACTCTTCGACGTGCGTCCCACTGCACGTAAGGGGAAATTAACCGGTAGACGCGATCGATTCCGAATCACGATAATCGACCGAAGCCCGCATACCTCGGCAAACCCTGTCGCCGATATTCACTCGTGGCACCGCTGCGCGTCGATCGCGTCGTCGAATCTGCAATTTAGCGCGCATCGATTCGCGTCTGATCGCATGCTCGCTCTCTCTCTCCCCCGCGAGATCCCCGCGCACCTCGCCCGAGAGATCGTCTCAATCCTCCTCTCTCGACGCGGCTTTATACGCGGCGTTAGATATCCGCGGAGAGATCCGATGGAAACTCTACGCCCAGACAATGCGCTCGGCCGATTTAATTAGGATAAGAATCGCTCGGATCGGATATACACCGGCGCACAATGGGGTGTACCGGGGGTGTGGAGAGGTAGGAAGGGGGGTTGGGTGGCGAGCGGGGAGACGAAGCCACGCTTCTGATGTATGTATACCGTGGCTCGCCTCCAAGAAACATGATACAGCGGACGAGGAGGAGGAAGAGGAGATGGAGAAGGGGGACGGATCCGCGGGCTTGCGGCGGTTTCCAAAAATACCGCAACGCTTCGGCAAAAAGTAACGACCGGCCGGGGTGAGTGGGGTAGAGGAGGGAGGGGGAGAGGGCACGTAATGCCGCGGGCGCCACGTGCTAATTATGTAAAAATATGATGCGGTTCGGTCGCTCGCGCGCGGTGCGACCGCCGGCTTTTACACGCAGCCAGATCCTTCCGTGCGCCGGTCGATAACACACGAATCGGGCGTGAGTAATGCCGATTTTATGTTGAACTTGGTCGGTGCTCACACAGGAGTTCGTGGATGAATGCGCTTCTTCGTTCGATACGGCGGATGTTGCTCGATTGCACACGCTATGATACTTTTCAGGAGGAGGGGGGTGAATGTAGAAAATACAGAGAAGAGAGTGAAAAACTTTGGGAAGCCGCGTTCAGAACATTTCTCGGGATCTAATTAGGATTGCAGTCCGATATCTCAAAATAATAATGCATTTTGCTTGAGCAATCCACGCAGGTTCTGCTTAAAAGTACAGTGTTTCAAACGTTACGATTCTAAGTTGGAAATAGTAAACAGATTTTACTCGGTCAGCTCCAGCGTTTTCCCAAACATTCCTTCTGCTTCCATTTTACATTACGATTGAACAAAATGTGCAAAACACTTTAAGTATTCGCACGCTGCTAAGTATAGTAACATTAGAAATTTAACCCCGTTTATCAGTCTCCTAATTTGATATATTCGGTCAAACTGTCGCTTGATTCTGGCGGTGACAGTCGCACGCTGCAGTGCATAGTCAATCAGCGTTGCGCAAAATAGGCTTCGTTATATATTTAGGATAAGAATGAGATTTCCAATTGGCATTCTAACGGGATAATTTGTTTCGGGACAATTTTGAATATTCTAATCGGAATCTGCTGTACGGAAATGCTGTACATGAGAAAATGTAGGAAAATTTCTCAGAGGGAGACGTGTCTCGACTCTTTAGAGAATTTTCTGTGTGAATTAGAAAAGAACTGGAGAATTATTCAAATGCCTCGTATTTCGTCGAAGTGGTTCTTAACGCGGTACTTCTAGAAGCGCGGGTTTCGTTCGCATTGAGAATATTAGTCGACGTGAGTATCGCGTGTTACGGATAGATCGTCTTCGGAGGGAACGCGTCTCCACTGGGAACGCAACTGTCGGCGGACTATTTACTTGTGACGATTACGTGATACTAATTTCATAATTGCGCTTAATGCGAGATTAAAATTGAGATGTGACTGCGCCCGCGGACTTAATACGTCTCGCCGGGTGTAATGTAATTAAGCGTCACCGGCGCGCTCTTCTCTGCGCCGTCGCGTCGCGTGCGCAATTTTTTAGCGTTCCTCGGGGCTCGTGAAAATCGCACAACCGCGGACAAAAGTTTCTCCCGCGCGTTCGAATGCCTCCTGCGAGAAGTGCGAGATCCATTTTGCTTATTAATCCTTCGCTTCCCGTCTGCGAAGATATTCTCAGATACGCGGGTCAATACGCGTGCGTCCCGTTGAAATCATCTCGAGTGAGTTTTAATCGCGAAGTTGACATCACGGCTACGCGTATTAAAAGCCGAACACCCTTGAACCTCTCTTGGCCGCGAAGGTTAATGTCACGTGCGAACAAAGATACCGGACTTGACGTGGCATGCAGGTGCGCAACGTCGCACGCGCGTCATACATCTTTCGCGAGGCTTGGCACGGGGTTGACCGCGCAACAATATCGGAAAGATTCGGCCGCTCGAAGCGCGATATTAATGCGCAGCAATAACTCCTCCGGAGGAGCGGCCAGAACCCGCCGAAAATTTATACACTCGCGAGAGAGGGACATCCGGGGCGAGAGAATATAACTTATCTATCCGCGGGATTAGTAAGGACGCATGATGTCCGTTTCCGATATTTCGCCACGCAAATATCCCGTATAAGCGAAAAATGCTGCACAATAAGAAATTTTGTCTGCAGTTTAGCGCATTTCATGTCCCAAACGGCTCACACGAATTTCCGCATTAATTTAACACAAGGTTAACGTTGAAAAGTAACATGAATATTATGTCAAGAACTAACGCAAAACTAGTATCCATAATATATTAATCGACATTGAAGTGTGAAGTGTATTATTTTAACACTTACACATGTTGAACATCGACTTAATACAGAATATTAAGATAACATAAACGCAAGATATCAAATTAATACACGAGTGTGCCGGAAAGTTAACGCGAAAATTTCAACAAGGACCGATTTTAACACGAGTATCAAAGATTTTTTACCGTGCGCATTCGCCCGTCTAGCGATCATTTATTCATCCTTTCGGTAATGAGGAGGGAGGGGGAGGGGGAGGCACTTTTCCCATCGATTTCCCAACGATGAGAGTGGTCGCGCGAGAATTCGCGAAATTCCATTTTAATTCCGCGATCCACCTTTTCTTCCCCATCGATTTCGCCTCTCCGCCGCTCTCCGGTATCGTTCTCGCGTCTCCTCGTCGTACTCTCGTAAAGTTTCTCTTTCACGAAAGGGAATACGACGCGCGTCGCGCCTGGCGGGCCATCGTAGCACGAGCGCGCATCTGCGCCGATGCGACAGCGCGATAAAACGCGGTCGTCCGAGCGCACGATGCATAGGAGGAGCTTTTTACCAAGCCGTCTTCTGCATCTCCTCCTTCTCTTCCTCCTTCTGAGTTTCCGTTTTTTTTTTTTTATTGTTGTTGCCCGGCAATAAATAATATTTCGCAGGTGCGGCCAGACGACGCGGCGCCTGTAATGCGCGGATCGTCGCGCAGATAAAAGTCCGCGCGCGGCGCACCGTGTACTCTATGTACTTACCTCGGTGTGCGATAAATCACTCGATAAATTGTTTGAAAGCCCGCCGTGCGCGCGCCCTCGCCGGCGAAGCGACATGGCGACGATGGAGTGAGAGAGAAAGAGATATTGGGGCGGAGAGGGCGTCGTTCTTCTTTTATTTTCGCGTTTTACGTTCGCTAATTGTCGCGCACGATCGCAAGCGTTCGGTCGGAAGACTAGTATTTAATAAACGCGACTTCTCGCCGGCAATTTCCCGCTAATTGGCGCCTGAATTTTTGGCCCGCGCCGCCCGCGTTGATCGTTGCGATCGTCCCCGTACGCTCGATCTCCGTTAACCGAATGGACCTGTTCTTTCTGTTCGCAGCATCCATACCCTTCGGAAGACCAGAAAAAACAGTTGGCACAAGACACGGGGTTGACGATTCTTCAAGTTAATAATTGGTGAGTAATGCGATTTTTATACACGTGCTTGCCGCTTGAAACTGCCATGCTCATCGTCCCCATCATTGGGACACGAGATGTCAATGTTATTTTACAAAAAAATACAGAAAATTGACACACGAGGAAATCGACCAGGATNGGGGGGGGGGGCTCCGTCAGCTTGAAAGCTTAATTCGCGAAAATCTCCCGATTTCCAACTGTCGCCTTGTTGCGCGTGTCGTTCGAGTTTCCCGTCTAACATAGCGCGACCGTAAAGGTCCGATAAGCCTGAAATATACGCACGCCGGGATAAAAATAAATTGTGGAAAGTTGTAAAACATATATCACCGCGATCGTTTGTCGTGTATCAAGAACTGCGATAATCTGGAGTTTTATAGGGTGTGTTCCGACTTTCGCGCGCTCGGACGTGTAAACAAATTTATCTCCCGGCCGTGATCGGGAGTCTTCCGAGCGGCGATGACGATCGAAAGCACGCTCGGTGTGCGTGCGTGCATGCGTGCGTGCGTGCCGAGCGAGAGGAACTTTTTCTAGACCGGCGGGCATAAGCGACGGCGGCCGGGCGTCGAATCATACGGCACGTCGCACGTGTCATACGCGAATTCCAGACACCCCGAAATTACGCCCGTACATCAAACGGAACGAGGCGTGCACAACCGGAGCCCCGGCGCGATCGCACCGTTGACGTTGCAACGAGCTGATTATTTCAGCGCGCCAATCACGCGAATACAAACGGCTCGGTAGTAGGCGTATATATGCGTGTCAGCGAGAATCGAGGCCGTGAGACGAGGCGAACCGGGCATGCCTGCCTGCCTGTCGAAATCGTTCGCAATTTGCGTTTTCCATGACCTCAAGGAAGCACTGATTGCGACGGCAGTTTTCCCGCCGCGCTTTTAACTCGCTGTGACGCGCGCGCGTCATCGATACTCCCGCGGTCTCGCTCGCGGCGTGACGCGGCGCGATCGCGTAATCTCGATGTAACGGATTCGGCGATGCCGCAGATTCTGCGGGATCGTTATCAGAGATCCGACTCGGCCGAGAGTGGAAATCCTACGAGATCACGCGCGATCGGGTGCGCTATCGGCGCTGCGATGTATCGGGTGTTAGAAAATTGATGTAATCGATGTAATAACTGTCCTTTCCGTATATCGAGGACTGAGTGATCCGTTTTTTTGCCATTTTTATTAGCGGTTAGAGTGATTGGAAAATTATTAGTTACACTCGGTGGAGTAGCGCGGGAAAATAAATGAAGTCGCGGCTAACCGAGCGCGACGGCTTCTCACGTGCGCGATCGGGAGGGGGGCGATGTGTATACGCGAAGGAGACGCGAATCGTCGTACGCTTTCGAGTACGAGCACGTTGTAAAATCATTATTAAGAGTTATTAAGAGTAGATTCCGCATTAAATTCCTCGCTACACTTAAGGCCGCTATAACGCCGCCGCGGAGAGATCATTCGGCCGCCGATAAAGCGGAATTTATCCCGGGGTCGCTACTAATCGGAAACATTTCGCGGCGACCGCGCGCGTCACCGGCCGATCGGAAATATCGGCTTACGTAACTTTTACGACATAACGCACACACCGCACTGTAATCCGTGGAACTCGCGCCCGCTCTTTCTCTTCCCGTACAAGTCACTCGCTCTCGCATCCGAGCGAAGTCAACACGGCTGCGGCGTGTTTTATCGCGCCGAATCTACATTGACGCGCGCGCTAAAGAGAGCTTTACGGGCCGTGAAAATATGATTAGATTACCGGCGCGCATCGTCGTGTAAAAACCCGCTATGTAAAGATCCGCTAATATCTTTGTTCGTATCGTACGAATGCGTTACTTTTTTCCACTCGCGTTTTCCTTCGCCATCGTTCGTACGAGCGCGATCATTTTTCCGAGGTTCTGAATAAGGAAGGCGGAACGGTGCGTGTAGGTGCGCGCTTTACGCAAGCGCTTGCGAACGAGCGTACGTTTGTTCGTTCGCTCGCGTTATATCAAACGAATTCCTTCGTCAATGATCCGTGTCCTTCGCGCGCTAATTGGCGCAAGTAAATAATTTTATCTCGTCATCATTATGCAGCGACTCATTAGACTCGCGAGTCCAATTCCGAATATCATGTTCTTTCCTCTCTTTTAATCTAAAACATTTTAATTCGGAAGGCTCGATCCTCCGATAATCGCGGAATGTTAATTAATGCAAAAGTTTGTCTCGAGTTTTAATCAAAATGTATGCAGAACATTTATTTTAACCTTTCTCTCCGATATAGCTGTATGATTTCGCATTCGTGAAAATTCTGGAATTTCCGAGCGAACGGACCGATTAAGAAACGGAACGGAAGCTTTTGCATCAATCCCTAATATAATAAGAAGTTTATAAAAATTGAAATAAAAAATGTTAAACTCTCAAGTAGAAATTAAATTACTTGAAAAAAAAAATTAAATAAAAATTATAATTAACCAAACATACATATCCGGACTATTAGAGAACTATGTAGTTTGCGTCGGGAATCTGGGTGGATCTATACGATGGAACGCCTTCCATTAGTGCGAACGAGTTCGTTCGTTCCTCTCTCGACCACCGTCCGCGTCAGGAACGAACGCTCACGCTAACATCGGCTTTCGCTCGCACAGCGTAATCTTAACAATGCCGAATGACGTACCCGCGTATGCGAATAACCCGCCGCATTGGCTGGGCGTAACGCAACGTTTAAAATAATATCTCGCTCGGCGGTGCGCTCGTGCCTCCGCCGGCGTCGCCGCCTTTCGCGGCTACGCAAGCTGAAGAGCTTGTAAAACGTTTATACGCCGTGCTCGCTTTATGCGCCTTTAATCTCGGCGCGAAGTGCGCCGCGCTGGATATTACACTAGCCGCTATTATGTAGCGACTTTACGGTTTTCGTATCTGGGCCGTCAGTCGCGGGCCGAGCGCTCGGCTCTCAGACAATCTCTTTTCCCCGGCCGTTTTCCCGCGGTCCCTCCGTGTTTGCTCGGCCGTGTGATTTTCTCCCGTAGTGCATAGGATATCACCCCCTCTCTTGTCCTACCCTTTTCCCAACTTTTCCGGTATTTCCTTCTGTAATGCGTACGAAATTACGAAATTGGTAGAAATTGTTGGCGGACGCGATATTCCAGTCGCTCGTAATTAATACCGAGCGCTAACCGCGATTCTTTCCCCGCTCTTGTTGTATTTCCCACTGAAAGTAGGACTTGGTAATAAGTATTAAAATTTAGTTAATATATACCGGCCAGATATTTGATTGCATCAACTAAATTTTAGTTCTGTATATATAATATATAGTATTACATATGTGTATACTAATATGTAATATATAGTACTACAGCACTGCATATGCAATACTGCATATACGGAATTAAATTATTTGATTGCGGTAATCGTCGGCATATATTGACCAAATTTCCACGCTTGTTGCCAAATTCTTCTTTTAGTCGATCTGACTTTTAGAGGTACGTTACCATAGTCCCTCGAGGTCGTTAACTTTCCTGCAGTCCGGGTGGTACGCGCCCGGGAACGTTTCGCGAAGACGTCGTTGTTGCAGGTGTGACCGATAAGTGCAACTTACGGGCGATTACGTTAACGGTCGGGGCGCGTATTTACGGCCCGCGAATCACTTGTCATTAACGTAGGCAGCACACGGATATCTCAACGGATACGAACGAGATACGGAGTGCGGTATTACGAAACGCTCGCGCAGGCCGACGGTTGAAAGCGATGAAGGAGATCGAAAAATAAAGAGAGAGAGAGAGAGAGAGAAAGAAATAGAAGAAGAAAAAACAAGCGTGAGAGATTGCGCAGCGAGATAACGTGATGGTCGGACTTTACGGTCGTCTTCGTCTCACAATTTACGGATACAAAAATGTAGTCCGTGAGATCTCGCGTTTATCTGTAACGACGGTAATTAATAAATTGCCGCTTACGGCCACATTACGCGTCATAATAATAAATTTAAGTATGCGTGTGTCTCCACTTAAGACGGAATTTCGCGAAACACCGTCACAGTTTTACCGTCTCGCTTTCCGTCGTCGCACGGCTTACGCAACGACGTTCAAATTAATTATTCCGCGCGCAGAAATCCCCGCTGATTCGCTTACCATAATGCAATTACGGTTTTCTTCTCGAGTCTCGTTCCTTTTTCCTTGCGTAACGACGATCGCTCCTCGATCAAGTTCCCAGGTCCCGATGTCCCTTCCCTTTCCCCCTCACCCATGATATTTCCGGTGCCGGTAAATTATTACACGACGCAGTGTGCGTATCTCGCGTTTAATTCTCCACGATCTGCCACTGGATGAAAACTACGGGAAATTGCGGACGTTCCTCCCGCTAAGTGACGTTTCGTGTTGTAACAATTTTATTATACTTTCTCTCTCCTGTCTCTCGTCCCTCCTCGACCGTTACTTTAACAAACTTTCAAAGTTGCGGTCGTGTGTATATTTCCGAGACTCGTGAGTGATCGTGCACGAAACACGAGCATCGTGTCTCCGTTAAATATCCCCGCCGCGTTAGTTATTGGGTACAAGTATCCTAAGTCGTCGCAGACCTCGCGTCTCATATTCCAATGATTTCTCGAATTTCCCTGGACGATCGCTTTCCGATTAAATCTCGAGACACAGTCCCGCCGATATTTTCGGGGCTCGTGAATTATTAGACAGCCGAGCGCCGTTACTCCGGCAGGAACGCTTTTCGAGGACACGATCGTCGTCGTCGTCGCCACCGTTAATTCTCTGCGATCCGGTATTAGCTGGAAAGGGTTAAGACGACGAGAGTGAGAGAGAGAGAGAGGCGATCCCATGAAAGCTTAGTCCTTTCTGTCCCGCGGCAATCCCCCGTTTCTTCGAGTTGATCCACCTAGCCATCCCTGTCTTCTTCCGCCCTTTCGTCCCACGGGGAACTCGGCCCGGTGTGTGTCTCGCGCCCCCAATCTCGCCATCTTGATAGATGTTTCCGCGTGGCACCTGCGCCGGCATCCGAATTACGGGCCCTGTTTACCGTGATATT